CAGGCATTTCTTAAACTAATCCACCACCCCATCTTTATTGATTTAATAAAGACAAATTAGCTGTTCATTTGCAAGGGGAATTTTCCATTAGCTTAGTGAATGTGGTGAAGCTCTGCTGACTTCCATTATCCACTCTTCTGCAAGCAAAAATGGGAATTTTGACCTCCAGCAGGCCACTGGTGTGAATGTCTCTGACCAAACAATCAGAAACAGACTTCCTGAGGGTGGCCTGAGGGCCCGATGTCCTTTTGTGGGCCCTGTGCTTACTGCCCAGCCCCACTGAGCTTGATTGGCATTTGTCACTGAACGCCAGAATTGGTAGGTCCACCACTGGTGCCCTGTGCTTTTCAAATATGAGAGCAGGTTCGCCCTGAGCACGACAGATGTGAAAGGATCTGGAGAAGCCGTGCAGAACATTATGCTGTCTGTAACATCGTTCAGCATAACCATTTTGGTGATGTGTCAGTGTTGGTCTGAGAAGCCATATCCTTGGAGGTAAGCACAGACCTCTACAGGCTAGACAATGGCACCCTGACTGCAATTAGGTATCGGTATGAAATCCATGGAACTATTGTCAGACCCTACGCTGGTGCAGTGAGTTCTGGGTTCCTCCTCGTCCACAGCAATGCCCAGCCTCATGTGGTGAGAGAATATAGGCAGTTCTAGAGGATGAAGGAATTGATACCATTGAATGGTCCCCATGCTCACCTAACCTAAATGCAATAAAGCACCTTTGGGATATCATGTTTTGGCCCATCTGACGCAGCCAGGCCCCAGACAGTGGGTGAGTTCTTTTTTCACATGTGGAGGCCTATAGCCATAAACTCTAAGGGAGCCCCCTGGTTATCCCACAGTTTGATAGAAAAAAAAAAAAAAATCTAGATAATCTAGCACCCCATAGACATAGTAAATAGAAGTAACCAATCCTGCCACTAATAGAAGGTTTACAGGGATAAGCAGGGCAAATAAAACAGAAGGGAAGGAAAACCCTAGCATCAGAGGGCTGCAAAATGTACAGGAGTCTTTGCATGTCGAAGTATAGATTACACAAATGTCTGTGTCTGAGGGGACCTTGTAAAAACTTGACTTCTAAAATAGTTCATACCAAGGCATCTTGTACAATGCAGTATGTGAGCTTTCAAGGACAGAAGTTCCTATGTAGGGGGTGGTAAGGCCTGAGTAGGAAAATAGGTGAACACCCATTGTAACAATGTGGGAAAGGGGTTAAGAAATCATGTTCTTTTTTTCTTACGCGAGCAGAACTAGCGAGGGAAGAACTTTGTTGGACTTAAAAAAAAAGTAAAAAAAAAAAAAAAAAGGAGGAAGGTTTGCCATGACAGAAGGACCCTCAGCAGATGGTGATTGTACCCGAGAGGGGGTGAATGGATGAAATCCATACAGTTAGAAATACATAATGCAGAGCGAAATGTGAAGCTGGATGATGCGGCCTGAACCCTCTTCTCATCAGTAGCTGCCTCCATAAAGGGACTTGCCAAAGAAGCTTGCCCTTGAAGAGCATGCACAAAAATGTGATCATTTTGGTTTCTTTTCTTGTAGTATACATGGTATCTTCATATCCACTACATTAGGGTTATGCTGCCACCTTCAGGAACAAGAGACAGAAAATTCCATCTTAGACATAACTCCTAGTTAGGCAAGGCTTCAGTTTTTGTAGCAAGCTATGAACCAATAAGGAATAGGGGTGGGATCACTGTATCTTATGAATTTTTTTAGGTACATCAAAAAAACTCATTTTCTTATCATACATACATCCCAGGACACAAGGTATCTTCATATCCATTACTATATGGATGTCCCAAAAGCACTGACTATGAGGAAGGGGCAAAACAGCCAACAGGCCCCAAATACCTAAACCAGAACATGTTAGAAACTCACACAACAGTCTGTAAAACTCCCTGACCAAAGAAAGCGTTTTCAGCAGCTTGAACATCAACATGGTAAAACTTTGTAAAGCTGTTACCTGGTTTTTGTTTTAGACTTTTGCACACTTGAGCTACCAAAGCCTGATGAAAAATAGCCCAGGAAGCACTAACAGTTCTGGTAGAATGAGCCATCACCACAAAAGGTGGAGCCTCTCCCTTCAGCCCTGTAAGCCTGAGAAATAAGCTGCTGGATCCACCTAGAACTGGTGGGTTTAGAACTTGCATCATCATTCCTTGAAACTTCAGGAAGCACAAAGTGAATCATGACCGATGAATTGCAGCAACTAACTTCAGGTAACACCTCATAGCATGAACCACATCTGAGGTGTGAAGAACCTTGACCCTGGTGACTGAGGACTGGGACAGAAAAAAGGCAACCTAGTTTATATGAAACAAAGAACACACCTGAGGGTCCTCTCTTGTGGGGTACTCACAGAATGGACATTAAGGGGTTTAAGCATGTCTAGTATGAGGGCATCACAGTAACCCAGGCTCTAACTAGGTTCCATGGCTGTTTCTTTTAAGAGTCATGCAAAAGGGGTGTGTGGCAAACAATGAACTTGCCTTGTTGGCAGAAAATGGCTGCCAGAAATGCATAGATAAAATTCTTCTAAACAGTATGTGAATAACTGGAAATAAAGTTCTGGTTGAGAGGTGGGGGATAAAATAAATACATTTTAAATAGGAAAATGCTAACCTATTAGACAATACACTTATGGAAAAAGCACTAGGAGTGCAAATCTCCATATACCTGTGCCTTTACTGAAATGCCATGAACACAAGCAGCTTTATGTCATGTAGAATAAGGATTTAGTGTAAATACAGAGCCATTAAGATGAGTATGCCAGGGAACCCCTGTGTTCCCATGTCTACATGGCTGGCCCATCGAAGCTCCAAGCTTCGCATATCACAGTGGGCATACTCCCAGATAAGTCTTCAGGATCTGGGTGCCATAGGAATGGAATCACACCCCCAAATCTGTATAGCACCCTGCCGCTACACTACACTCATTACACCACGTGACAAGGTGGCACCAAGCGCAGTATCCAATACCCAAAGTAAACATTACAGGCCAGCCCAGCGATCTTAGAGTCTGAGTAAGGTTCCCAAACTGTGCTTGAGGGTCACTGATCTTGAAACTGCTAAAGCACTGAAAGCAGGAAAAAAAAGTGCCAGTTGATTATATCTAGTGAAAATATAGTAGAAGGCAACCATCACCTAAAAACACTAACATAAAACTGGAGCTTCATGGGGTAGGTGGGTTTATATGGAGACACAGAGGGAGAGGACACAGCAAAGCCTTTTCCATTAATCCAAGCACCTGAGGGTAGCGGTATATAACCCATGGTCTATGAATTGATTTCTGTGTCCCGTATGATACACTTTGTTTTCTTCATCAAGGGAAAGGCGACAAGGGATGGAATGCCTGAGTGGTGAAGTCACTCATAAGGTTACTATGGGCCATTTATTGTCCGCATCCCTCCTCTCTCCTGAAGCTGGTTGCTGGGAGCCAATCCCTTGACCAGACCAGAGCACCCTGAAAATAGGCAAGTATAAGCATCTTCCTTCTAAGGGTAGTTAGAACAGGAGTTAGAGGGGGTGGAACCATTTTGAGCTTAGTTAGTTGTAGGCTGGACTTCCAATTTGTTAGGATTTTGGCTTTGTAAAGTGCAATGTGAACACCACGAGATAATGAAACCCATTCTGTACTTAAAATGAAGAAACTGAAAAAAAAAAAAAAAAAAAAAAGTGTCTTGGATGTAATAACTTTAGATTTCTTTCTGCCATCAGACTGCATTTTTGAAGGAATACATTCTATTTTTAAAATATTGTGCTGGATATTCAACAATGGTGGTTACAGTTACAAATTTGAAGTAATGAAAATAAATATTTCTATTTTCATGAAATGATTGTATATTATTAGCATTATTCCTTGCCACATTACAGATCACAATTTAAATGCATGCCAACATAAAACTCACGCAGTAACATTTTTATTAAATTGTCATATGTGCCTAACAATTAACATATTACTTCCAGCAATTAGATGATGACAAGTAAAAACGGCAGGCACTTGTTTCTAATTTCCTAACCACTCTAAGAGATTTTTTTTTTTTTTTTTTAATTAAAGAAAAACAAAAAAAATATACAATTGTTTTACATGGCCTACAGTTTTATTAGGAAGACAAACATTTCTGCAAAGCATAATACTGGCATAAACAAACTGAAGTGATTTGAAATATATCTGGATTGTGGTGTCAATACTTGATGTTTTCATACCAGGAAATATCAAGCATTTACAGCAATTGTTCGCCACGTGTACTTCAACTGAGAACAAACTAAAAATCAAACCAAGAATAAAATGAATAAGTTATTTAGCTTAGAAGAACAGACAAACCTATATTCAGTGCAAAATCTCATAACGAGGTATTAAGATGAAGAAAAAAAAACAAAATCAAAAAAATAAAAATAAAAATCACGTTTACACAACAGATGATAAAACCTTATGTGCAATATACTTCTCCCAAAAACTGTTACAGTTACTAATTGTGCAATATTATTATTGATAGAAACCTACACAAAATTATTGTGTAGAAAAAAAAAAAAAAAAAAAAAAAAAAAAAAAAGGAGGAACATGGTTTTTGATACTTTGGAATTTCCTTCCATCAAAAGGCATTACCCAAAAGGATAGACAAAATATTGCTTTTACAAAAATGAATAGTGCACATACAATGAACAAAAATAATGGTGGGAAAAAAAAAAAAAAAAAAAAAAGATGCAAATTTATTTTTTGCAATAAAAATACTAGCCTTCAACACTACAAGGATTAATTTTTATACAGTTGGTACCTTGAAGAAGGAAAAGAAAAAAAAAAAAAAACAAGAACTGTTAAACCATTACTACAAAGTATCATCCAGTTTTCCGCAGCAGTAAAAACTTCTAAAATACAGGAGTAAGAAAATAGCAAACTTTGTAAACGTTTATTTTTCTGGTTCAAGTCTGTATCTTGCCACTGGCAATACAGTATTATTGGCATTGGAAATATTTAGGACCAGTTTAGCTTAGGAGGAGAATAGGATCTTCAAACTCGTAGAAAGACATTGAGCTGGTTTGACTCTCTCCAGAGTCAGAATCGTAAGGAGCCTCTGGCAGCTCAGAAAATGTGTATGCTAACTGTTCATCTTCCAGTTCAGATCTGGCACATAAAGGGCTGGAGTATTCCTCTTCTCCAACATAATTGAAGTCTTGAGGGATGTAAAGCATATCTGGATAGTTCCTTGTAATCAGATCACTTGTAGTTTTTAGTGATGTTTTTCTAAATGCCATGAGATGCATGTGGGAAAATTTGGAGTATGTCATACGCTTGAAACCAAGAGATTCAATGGCAATTTTCCAGCTCTTCATCATCATAGCATGACGATTCTGATGAGAAGAATCTGGGGTGATAATGAGCAGCAAGCCATTCAGTGCAAGTAGTTCATGAGCTTTCTTACAGCAAATCCATCGCTGATAATGTGATGGGAAATAAGACAGTAGAAGGGAAAAGACAACTACATGGAACAGTTCAGCAGGTAGATAATCTATAGGATTTTTTAGCTGCCTCAGGAAGGCCTCAATGGCATCAGGTGCAAGCTGAAGTGGTCTCTGGATTTGCAAGTTCAGGAAGTCACATTTGTAGACCGTCTAGAAGAAAGAAAAAAAAAAAAAAAAAAAAAACTATTAAAAATTATACCAAGGCATTTATTTGTCCTCACTGCCTGCACTGTCATGCATTTTGCGGTGTTTTACTACACAGGTAAGGGAAAGACACTGCATGGACTTCAGAAAGTAAATGGTTTCCAGTTGAATTCTAATCTTTACGAAGTGACACAAACACTGGGCAAGAACAAGGCCTGCAAGATGAATTTGGATGCATTGTGCTCTATTTTGCCATTCAAGTAACGGGAAATCCTTCAGAAACAATACAAAAGTATGTGAAAATAAATGACAACGTGCATCTCTATTTGGATTGTATCCTGCTTAAAGTGGTTGTAAAGGCTCCAGGTTTCTTACCTTCATGTATTCTATGCATGAAGGTAAAAAAAAACAAACAAAAAAAAAAAACAAAAACAAAACCTGTGTGCACCAGCCCCCCCCTCCCAATACTTATCTGAGGAATTTTTTCATACAAACACAGTATATATACCTGCTCTGTTCTTGGTTCCCCCGCCGGCGCTCCTGGCCCCTCCCTCCTGCCAAGTGCCCCAGAGCAAGCAGCTTGCTATGAGGGCACCCAAGCAGGAATGCTCCTGAGCCACTACTCTCTACATCCATTCATACACAGAGCCCTGGCTTGTGTCCCCCCCCCCCCCCCATTCGCTCACTGGCTGTGATTGACACTAGCTGGAGCCAATGGCTCCCTCTGCTGTCTCAGCCAATGAGGAAGGAGAGTCCCTGGAGAGCAGAGGCTCTTGTGCACATTGCTGGATCGCAATGTGGTTCAGGTAAGTATTGGGTGGGATCTACTGCACACAGGGCTTTTTACCTTTAGCCTTTCCAATCACTTTAATTGTAGCTGTATTAGTGCACTTGCGACAGGAACAACTGAATACTGTCTGTTATACTTTATTTGCACGAATATACAATTTTTCAGGACATGTCCCCGTCATCCAGTTCCAAGCAAAGCAGTACTCATACACAGTTTTAGTAGAGTGTTAACAAGACAATATCTAAGAGAAAAACAATGTGCATACTAACTGTTATTAAGCTTTTATAACTGGCGAGATATAGCAGGGAGAAGACTATGGAATTGAGGGGGGGGGGGGGGGTCATCGTAGAGGTTAGAATAGTAATAAAAATGTTAAATTAATTTGTGGACTTCCGCTTCCTAAATTTCACAGACCATTATTTCTGTGTCAAATAGAATTAACATTCTTGGTTCAAAAGTTTTCCTTTCCCGAGTAGTTTTAAAGTTCCCTTTAAGAACCAAAACCTTCAGACCTCCCATAGTGGAGTGTAGTTGTGAGAAATTATGTGTCCCTCAGCTTTCTAAATCACTATTCAACAATTTTATGACTACTCTAACCTCTGTGATGACCTGTCTCCCCAAATCCGTAGCCCTCTCCCTACCGTATCACACCAGCTATCCCAGCTGAATTGCCTTTGGGTGTACATTTGTTTGTGTGTTTTTTTTTTTTTTTCTTAGAGATTGCCTTAACACTAACACACTGTGCATTAGTACTTCTTGCGCCTTTATGCCAAGGACCCTGAAAGCGTGTCCTGAAAAATTTCATGTTCATGCAGAAAGAATGAAATAAAAAAAAAAAAAAAAAAAGTCACAAGCTGAGCAATTTAGAGAATAGGATATAAAAATGCCTCTGCCACCTCTAAATTCTTCCCATCAGTCCCTTTCAGTGGTGGACAGACTTAATGATCAATAATGGAGGCTTGGGACATGAAAATGGTAGGACCAAAACACGTTTTTGCAAGAAACATTGAGATTTGCATACAACTCTAGCTGCCTGCAACAGCTCTGCAATTTTATTTTGTCATGCACGTCTACTAAAAGTTCCACTGATATGCATTTTATCTTAAACGATAAGTTCACCTATGGGAACAGGTTACATGTTCCACCCATTTTTAGTTTTTTTCAGTTTGCATGTAACATGTTCCCAATGCTGCAGTTGCCGCCCAATTCCCCCCCCCCCATTGACAGCAATACGGGGAGAGGTTCTCCGTACAAGCTGTCACTTTTTAAATAGAGCCCAGCCATGCATGGCTCCACCCACACAGCCCCATCATTCAATCAATGTGAATGAATGAACTGCGAGTCCCAACAACCTCAGCGGCTGTCAGCTTGCATTTCTCAATGAACTACTATGGCGCTGTGGAGCACCATGGTAGTTCATGGATTCTGTCAGTATATCTGCTTGCCCATACATCCCATGTGGTCAAGCAGAGATACTGACAGATCTGCAGGAAACCTGCACGGCACCAGCGATCTGCTGATTGCTGGCGCAATGCTTTACAGGCTCCTGCAACCAAAAATAAATGCACATTTTTTGCAGGTAAAAAAAGTACATTTATTATTTTTGGTCAAAAGGTGAACTTATCCTTTAATAAGCTAAGTATGAATTCTCCAAGCTTGTGAAAGGGATTTTTACTTTAATCTACATTCAGACAATGGGCCTTTATCGCCATCAACATTTTCAAATTATAGGCCCACACACACGAAGATGCAGAAAGATTGTGGAAGGGGTATAACATTAGCTAGAATAATAATGGTGTGTTTCCACTGAGGTACAGCATGAAGATTTGCTCCCGGTGACCATTTCTATGGTGCAAAGTGACCTGATTTTGCAATCTCCAGTTTTAGCAAATCAACTCCAATATATTAATAACATAAAAGAAGTCTGATGTATACTATTACGTATATACTGTTACTGTACTCCACATTAGCTTTATGCATTTGTAATCAACTGCATTTATTTTGTACACGTGTACGGGTGTCACCTAGACTCTAAAATTGTTGTTACCTCAACAGCAGGCACAATATCGATACCAACAGCCAGAAAATCTTCATATTTTACAAATGGATTATAGCAGCTTCCCTACATCAAGTAACCTGATCTTCCCAGGAAGGTGAAATCTGTTGGAAAAATAATTGAATAGTAACAACTTCATGCTAAAAAAACATTTCTGACAATTCATTAATCACTTAACGTGTCAAACGTTTGCTATTATTTGCAAAAATAGATTTCACAGATAATACTACAATTTGCTACTTCTGTTTAACCACCAGTTGTCCAAGGCCATTTTGAGATTTTTCAAACATGCTAAAATCAGGTTTTAATTTTTTACTAGATTACTACTTAGCATACCAAAACATTTTCTGAAAGCAGAGGCCGTAGAGCATAAAGGGGTGGCTGCTGCAATTTCATGTCACACAATATTTGCGCAGCTATTGATCAAATGCAACTTGGGCATTTTAGACTGATATTTTATTTCACATTTATATAGAGGAGTTCCTCTGTAGCGTGGATGGGTTAATAATTTAGCAACTTCAAAGCAGCTAATCAAACATAGATTTCTGGGGCTGTTGGGGAAGGAGGGGGGCTATGAACTTTTACCTGATAGCCCAATCAACAAAATATCGGTATTTTTTCATTTATATAATAAAAAAAAAAAAAACATAGTGGCGATCAAATACCACCAAAAGAAAGCTCTATTTGTGTGAAATAAAATTCAAACCGGTAAAACCTTCCGGAGGTCAAGGAGTTAAAGAACTAAAAACTTCACAGTCAACTATGTAATAGAAAAATCAAGCTCTGGAGGAGAAATTATTCAGCTACAGACTGCTTATCTAGTAAACCCTCTGCTGTAGACATTTTCCACCCAAAATAAAATGTGTATGGTCGAGACCAGCATAAAAGGCTAAAATACAAGTGGAGTATTCCCTATGGGTCAGCCATTCATCCTTGCTTTGTGCAAAGAAAGCCTTCATATGTGATAGTAAAATTTGTGAGAGTTGCATTTCTTTGCTTTGAACAAAGTGGGAATGACCCAGTCAAAGATACAAGCATCCTTTAGGGACTTGTTAGTTAGCCATGGTGTTAAAACCAGTGACTGAGAAGCAGCATGTAACAGTGGACCTTGGGCCAATAAGTTTGGTCTGTTTGGAAGATGCCAAGGCTCATCTGCCAGACGTCTGCCAGTAGGTCTGTTCGTCTACCATGTTCTTTTGGGCCAATTTGGTGCAATGAGAAGACCCTTTGGAGGAGATTTACAAAAAAACTGATGCACCACACAGAAGCTGGGCAGCCGTGAATGGTAACTATTCAGCTTACAAATTTTATTGTCAAAGATTAATTGAACAAGTTGAAGTTAGAATCTGGTGCAGCCTGCATAGTAACTAAGCAGCATCTGTGTGCACTAGTTTTAGTAAATCTCTCCCCTTTCTATCTCTTGAAGGAGGACGGATCCCCCCCCGTCGGGAGAACACAATAGATTCTCGGGAGGGATTAACCAAATCAACACTGACTGTGTGGTTGTAGGAAAGAAAAAAATCACACAGTCTATGGCCAACTTTAGGCAAACAGTCAATGGCTGCACTGAGCCACTGATAGCTGTAGTTTGATCCACAAATCTCTACTTTAACCACAAAAACAAAAATATGAAAGGGCTGCAAGTAAAAATGTGAAAGTCAAAACATTACTATGGTAAACAATGCAAAACCTCAAACATACACTATGATTTATCTTTGATACCTATCCATCTTTCCTAGAAAGCTTTGATAAAATCATAAATAAGAAATGAATGAAGGCGAACATGTAAAGCTACTTACTCTTGATTTGGAGTGTTGCCATTTGAAATGCTAAGGCCAGAAGCAAGCATTTGTTCACAAGCAGCAGACTGATGATTATTTAAGGCCGCTCTCCTTGCATCTTTTTCAAGCGCTTTTCTCTTTCCTCCATTGAAGAAATATTCTTGACAAACACTAGGAATACAATTTTACAAAAATTGTTCAGTTCTGTCATTTTACTAAAAAAAAAAAAAAAAAAAAAAAAAAAAAAAAAAATCAAAAATCACATGAGTGTGCGCAGTTACTGAACCATTCCAAGCCAAATGCCCTTAACATTGTTGGGGCGTGGGGATACTTGAGGACAAAGGCTTCTAGCCCTTAACCCTCATTAATGGAGACTTACAGAATAAGATATGTCACTCCCCGCAGCCCCACAACCACAGCATCAGGTTTGTCACAAGGCACGCTCCAATAAAGGGTCCGATATGGATATTTTTGGGGGACCTCAAAGCGTTTATTTTTCAGTCTGAGGTTCACCCCGCAATCCTTTCCAGACCCAAAGGGCTTGGAATGGACTGGGGAGTGGGACTTCATGCTTTTTTTTTTTTTTTTTTTTTTTCAATTTCCCCCCAATATCAAGTGTGTGTGTTGGGATTTGGGTGATAGCCTGCATGCCATTTTTATAAAAAATGATTTCATGTCAGCTCTTTTGTATATATCCTACTGTCACTGGAGAATCCCCCCACTAACTGCAGGGGTGAGTCATGGGTGTTAAGGACACCAGCAGGCAGATGTAAACTGAACTGAAATGTGTGAAAGGAGTCTAAAGCATAACAAAAGTTTGTGCACAAGAAACTCACTAAAACACCACAAATATTGAAACTCCCGTTAATTTTATTTTTTATTTTGCATAGAATGATGTGTGGTTTTCAGTCCGTTTTTCAGCACAGATATTTTAGTTCTAGGACTAATAAGCAGAAGTGAGTGCACATATCTTTGAAAGTGTGCACCTCCTCAAATGGATCCTGGAAAATTTCAACTGCTACCTATCAGTGGTTCGTATAATGCAGCAAACCATGGCAACTAAATTTGGCGTTCTGTGGTCAATCCACTGAAAGGTACATTTGGAAGATTCCTGTGGCTTGTACTTTGCCTTACTAAAAAAAAAAAAGTGTGCACAAACATTTACATGAAGATAACTGCGTGTGACAGACTGATAAAAGTTAATGGAGAGAAATGTGTCTGTGTTGCCTATAACAATCAATCACATCCTTCCTTTCATCAATGGCTTTTACCCATAAGACATGTCTCCCTTTAGAGTGACTTATTTGCAAACATTTTACAGGGAATAATGAACCTTTAAGGCCAGTGACATTTTCAATTTTCTTTTAAGCTGTCCCAGAAAACTGACAGAATTAAACTGGATACTATAGAAAATTTTGGGTCCCCATTTTTGAAAGATGTTTTCTTTTGGGGCATTGCAAACACCAAGAATTTTATAAATAAATTATTTGATATGCAACCAAGACCGTATAAAAACAGGCACATTTATGTGCATTGGTGGGCCTTGATCTCTGCTGCAATAGCCATGCTGTAAGAAGAAACTCAGAGCATGATTCAAGCTGCTGGACCGGCCGAAATTTAAACTGTATATAGCTGGCTTTAGAGTCAAGAGGCATTTATGCTGCGTTAGAAAAGGGCCTTGCTCACAAGGGCTTACTACAGTGTACACCCATGCGAGGGCTGTGTTTACCCACACGGGGACACACAGGTGTTCCGTGCATCTCCTAAAGGCAGTCCTATTCATGTCTATTAAAGGCAGTCCTATTCATGTCAAATGGGCCACAGCGGCCATAGACGCAGGTCCCAATTTGACATTCATGCAGGTGCACGGCCCTGACGTGAATGGAACTGCCTCAATGGCGGTGCACAGAACACCTTCATACCTCTGTGAGTAAACAACGTCATCACATGAGTATGAGTATGTCCTGTAGTAAGCCCATGTGAACTAAGCGAAAGGATCTAAGTGAATCAGCACAAACTACGGAATAAACTAAGGTCTGGGAGGTAAGGGAACTCAAGAGTGGGGACCTTACATTTTTTCCAATGGAGAAATTTTGCGTAGGCAGCAATGTTAAAGAACATGCAATTTAATAGTTACCCAAGGCACCATTCGATTCGGCCTTCTCCTTCACACTTCTTAGGCCAGTGATTACCCGCCAAGTTTTTCATTGCAGCAGCATATTCAAAAAGTTTCTCTTCATCTTGGCAATGTTCTTTCCATATTTTGTCAAAATCACCAGCTACAAAAGAAAAAAAAAAAAAAAAAAAAAAAAAGTGTTTTTATACTTGACTATGAATATTACATTGATTAAATGAGGACTCTTAACCAATACTGCAGGAAAAAGGAAAAAATGGAAAAAGGAGTTACTAAGGTTTGTTTTCATTATTAACCAATCAGAGCACAGGAAAGCTGTCACACTGCACAACCTGAATGGCTATACAAAAATCTGAACAGTAGAAGCTATGAACAGTGAAACAACTAGGACGTGGGGTGAGGGTTAAAAAAAAAAAAAAAAAAAAAAAAAATGCAGGCAGCTTCAGTTGCCTGAACCAACCTGCAAAACCTTAACTTCTTGCCAACCGCAGATAGCCGAATGACGGCTACACTGCGGCCGGCTAGTTCTGGGAGGAGGGAGTCATATGACATCCTCCCAGAACGCGCTCTCCTGCACGCCCCTGGCGATCTCTGATCGCTGTGTCCTAAGGACACAGCTGATCACATGATGTGGTAAAAGGCCAATCACAGCGGACTTTTACCACGTGATCAGCCGTGTCCAATGACACGCCGATCACCGGGAAATGCAATTGCTGGTTCTCGGCTGCACTTTCCTCACGGTGTCAGAGCGCAAGGAAAGTACTGCCGAGAACCGGCAGTTGTCAGAGCAGGGATCGGCACCGATCATCAGGGCACTGATGATCAGTGTCCTGATGATCAGTGTCCAGCAGTGCCACCCACCAGTTCCGCCCACCTGTGCTGCCCAGCGGTGCCACCCACCAGTGCCCAGCAGTGCCACCCACCTGTGCCCACCAATGCAGTGCTGCCAGTCAGTGCCCAGCTGTTGTGCCAGTCAGTGCCCAGTTGCGCCAGTCAATGCCTAGCCGTGCCGCCAGTCAGTGCCACCTATCAGTGCTGTCTATCAGTACCCATCATCAGTGCTGCCTATCAGTACCGCCTATCCGTGACACCTCATTAGTGCTGCCTATCAGTACCGCCTATCCATGACACCTCATTAGTGCCGCCTCCATGACACCTCATTATGCCGTGCCACCTCATTAGTGCTGCCTATCAGTGTCGGCTATCAGTGCCCATCAGTGCTGCCTCATCAACGCACATCAGTGAAGGAGAAAAATTACCTGTTTGAAAAAGTTTATAACAGAAACACAGAAATTTTTGCAAAGCGCCCAGTGGCGATTAAATACCACCAAAAGAAAGTTCTATTTGTGGGAAAAAAAAATGATAAAAATTTCATATGGGTACAATCTTGCATGACCGCGCAATTGTCAAAGTGCGACAGTGCTGAAAGCTGAAAATTGGCCTGGTAAAGAAGGGGGTATATAAGTGCCCAGTAGGCACATGGTTAAGAAGGCAACAGATAGAGCCAAATGCTGAGGTGTTCTGCCAGAGAAAGCTATGGCACAAGCTAAGATGGTATGTGAACCTTTTACATACCCAGAAACCTAAAATAATGCAAAATTTAAAGTAAGGCTAAGTTCACACTAGCTTTATTAGTAGGTGTTAGACAGGCCTTTGGGAAGAGTTTTTAATGCTCCTCAAACGCCTATGAAAATTCTACACATGGCAGCACACAGTACTGTTCACACTGAAGCGTTAGCGTCGCGGCAAAATTGATGCCTCATGTCGAGTCAGGAGTAGTTGAAGCCTCCCATTCAAGCCTATGGTGACGCTCCTCAAACGCCTGGCAGGCTTTTGCGAGGCGGTCGCAGAGCGTTAATACTATTAAACTTCATTATAGACATATCAGATTGGATGTCGCTCCACTTCCTCAAACTGAACCTCTCCAAAACAGAGATCCTAGTCTTACCCCCAGCCCGCGCACACCCCCCCCCCCCCACTGATTTCTCCATCACCTCCAACAATGCCACCATCAGGCCCACCCCACAAGCCAGAATACTTGGTGTCATTCTTGACTCCAACCTATCCTTCCAGCCCCAAGTGCAATCACTAACAAACTCATGAAGACTCCACCTCCGCAACATCTCCAAAATCCGCACGTTCCTAACCCCAGAAACTACTAAGCAACTCATCCACTCCCTCATCATATCACGACTCGATTACTGCAACTCCCTCCTCAATGGCCTGCCTCACCACAGGCTATCCCCGCTTCAGTTGACCCTGAATACGGCAGCCAGACTCATCTACCTTACCAACCGCTCCGTTTCCGCCACCCCCCTCTGCCAATGCCTCCACTGGCTTCCGATTGCCCAACGGATCAAATTCAAAATCCTCACACTGATGTACAAAGCTGTCCATACTGCCCCAAACTAAATCACTGACCTAATATCCAATACCACCCAAAACGCACTCTCCGCTCCTCACAAGACCTCTTTCTAGTTCCCTGGTCTCCGTTTCCCATGCCAGCCTCCAGGACATCACCTATCCTCTGGAACTCCCTACCCAAATCCATCAGACTATCACCTACTCTCCTCTCCTTTAGGTGCACCCTGAAAACCCACCTCTACATGGAAGCCTACCCCACCCTCTGCTAATTGCCGATCTCCTCCACTCTTCCTACCACTCCATCCCCCACAGGTTTTCCTCCTGTACCACTATCCCCTCCCTCCTAGATTGTAAGCTCCAAGGAGCAGGGCCCTCGAACCCCTTGTGTATCACATTGTATTGTTATCGTATTGTCTCATGTATTGTCTCTCATTGTAATGTACAGCGCTGAGTGAACTGTTGGCGCTATATAAATACTGTATAATAATATAATAATTATAGGAGTTTGATAGGCGTTTACCAAGCGTTAAAACCGCACCACAACGCTTCAAAACCGTGCAAAAGGCGGGAGTTAGAAATTAGTATAGTGTGAACGAGCCCCAATTATTTAGTGGCACCAAACTAAATACATAAGCTGTACAACAAGCACCACTAGCTGCTTCCAAATATATGAGACGTCAATGCTAAAATAGAATGCTAAATGTGTTAAAATAAACTTGACAGCTGCTGTGTGAATATCAAAGAATATTTTTGATACATTATAATTAATCTGTGTGACAGTGCCTAGTGCTATCAATAAATGTGCAAATATCAAAAATACATAGTAAAAAGAAAGTGCCAACAGTGCTAAAATTAGTGACTAACTACTATAAAAATAACCCCCTAACAAATGTAAACATATCACCCCGCACTTAGTGCTATAAATATAACTAATGTACAGAAGGCAATTAATAATCATACAAAATATCAAATATAGTGCAAATGCAATCTAACCTTTGCAAGTACAATGCATATAATGTGCAAATAGGCAAACAACTATGTGCACATCCAGTTATACAAGATGTTTAAGGTGCATTCCAAAAGTTCCTACACGCAAGTTTAGGAGCTGCCAGTGTACATGACGTCAAAAACCGGTACATGAATCTTGGACTCTACCCTTCCTCCCGCCCAGTGCACCAACCTTTTCAGTTGATTTGACTGCACATGGCAGTGGGAGGATCCATAGCCACTATTTAGTCCAGTCCAAATGGGGAACTAGCCTCTCTTCCTCATCAAGCACACCCCACTCAGGGACACAAGTCCCTTCCCAAATATGGACATTGCCATATTTAAAGTGATGACATTACCACTATCTCCGACAGCTGACTGGGAATATAACGAACATACATATCAGCTTCCCAGTATCAACATGCAGCACTTTGAAAACCTATTAGGTTTTTATTGCCATCTGTGCCCCCGTTAGGGAGATACTCCCTCTCTATTTGTCCTGTTTACCATTATCATTGAAAGTGAAAAAAAACTTCACATTTTGGATTGTCCCCAGAAGAGTAATAGAAGGGAAATTTTCCGATGGAGACATTCGTTCGGGTGACCTGGGAGTCCCCAAGAAAATCCCTTATAAAAAGTTTGGAAGATATTTTCAAAAAAGTTATCATTTGTTGCATTTTTCATCAACATCCTTCGGTTCTAATGTAACGCTACCTTGATGAATAAAGGATCGATTCATTAAAAAAACGAAAAAAAAAAAAGACAAACAAAAAAACACACACACCACTATTTCCGAGATATTCAAAACATCTGAAAACCGTGTCTGAATTTAAACTTTCAAAATGCTGCATTTTGCACTGCAGAAGAACCAGCACAATATAGACGCAAAAGCTGCAAATTGATTAACAAATCTTCACATAACCTTCTTAATATTGTCATTTTGTGATTGGCTGTGCTTAAACACTTGTATCAGATACAAGTGTATACAACTGTATCAGATTATCAAGCTAAGAGTATCTGAATGGTCTTTAGAGTCAAAAAACTTTGTTGAAAGTTCAATCAGTTTGCTGACAGAAATGACAGACAGCTCTGGCTTGAAGTCCAATGCCAGGGTGTTAGCAACCCCTACCCCACCCCACCCTTGAGTAAAAACCCCTATATGCAAATGCCCATTTTATCTGAAGCCACAGTAATGCAATGATCCTACTCTCTTCTTTTGTGAACTTCCTAAAGGTCCTTCTTCAGCTGTCCAAATCACTGCCTGCACAATGTGGATACCTCCTGTTGGTGGAGGTGAAAATGCCAGCAGCCATGTCCTGTCTCATAGGCAGAAGAACTCACAGGGGCATCGAGGGGACCAGTGCCCAGTAAGATAATGTGTAGGGAAAAACGCCTAATTCCCAGGGAAGGAAATAAGCTTGCCTCATAGCAAAAAATGGTCACTTTCTTCATTACACTGCAGGGTGGCTTGAGAAGTGTTTGGAGTCAAGACTGAAGAGCAAGTTAATTGATGCCCAATGCACTATTGCCACCTGATCCCTTTTACAGGGCAGGTAAGGGCCTTCTTCCAGTCAACGCCTTTCCATTCAGGGAACCTGGGGGGGGGGACTGCTGCAGACAGAGGACAGGGAAAAATATCAGTTTCTCCCCTTCCTCTGTTACAAATGAAGCCAGAAGTGACGTGCATTACGCAATTTTCATTTTCGGTTCTTTATTTACTGACTGGTACCGGCCAGTGAAGCAGCCTTCAAAAAGATCTCGGTTTGATCAGCTGCTTTAGAGAGCAGAGGAGAAATCAAGTGTC